ATCATCACCAAAACAAAACACAAAAAAAATTAAGAAAAAGAAAATCAATCTTTATAAATAGGATTACTTTATTCAATTGAGTCATTCTCAACTGAAAAATTATCAAAATAAACTTTCAAACGATGTCCATTTACCTTGAAAACTTATTAAGAAGTTGATGTTTTACTCCATGACTTTTAGGGAATAAGAGAACAATAGCCTGACAAAAGATTCAGTCCAATTTAGGTGCCCTTTTAGATTTTAGGCAACCAATAGAACCCATTATTTATTTAAGATTCTAATAAGGTGAATACTCGCTCTATTCAATGCTAGGCATAATGAGTATAAAGACCTCAAAAAATTCTTTTTTCGTCCTATCTTATGAACTTTAAGGTGTATGAAGTTTCATATTGGATTATTTAAGTAAAAAGGGGGCGATGGAGACTTCATTTAACTTTGGTTAATCTAAGCCAAAAGCAAACCTACGTCAGGATAACCTTCTTTGAAACACTTTGGCAGTGCTCACAAATCGAAATCGAAATAAGAAAATCAGAGCACATGGAGCCATCTTCTTATCTTCCTGTCAAGAGAATTATGGTAGACTAACTGATTATTTATATCAGTTAATGAAAGAGCCCAATGCAAAAAAATGCATGTTGGGTCTTTGAAACAGTTCGAATCATTTTGATAATAATCAGTTTGATCTGTTTTACCGAGAAGGTCTACGGTTCGAGTCCGTATAGCCCTAAAAAAAAGGAATAAAATAATAATAGTTGGCCAAGAGCCCTTGTAATTGTCACTAGTTGTCTTCTCTTTATCTTGTTACTGGTCTTCGGTCACTCAACTAATCTACTTGACAAGTCTTGCCTGGGCTCGACACATGTTTCACAATAAAAGGATCACTCCATCTTGATCTTAGTTTTCGAGGAAATAAATGGAGTTGAGAATTATAAAGTAAGACTTTTTGACCAATATTGAATGCTTTTCTTAGCATTTTCTTGTCATGTAACTTTTTTATTCTTGCTTTATGAATTCTTGAATTTTCATATGCATCATTTTTTATTTTCTTAAGCTCATTTATTTGTAATTTTTACAGTTGACTAGCTTCATTAAAGTTTGAATTGAAAGCTTTAGGAGCCCAATAAGCTTTATGTTCAAGTGATAAGGTTTTTTATAGACTAGTCTATAAGGTGACATATCTAATGATATATAAGCAGTTCCCTAAGCCCAAAGTTCATCATTAATTTTTAAAGATCAGTCTTTCCTATTAGGTTTTATTGTTTTCTTCAAGATCTGTTTGATCTCCCTATTAACAAGCTTTACTTATCCACTTGTCTGAGGGTGATAAGGGGTGACAACTTTGTGTGTGATTCCATATTTCTTTATTAAAGACTCGAATGACTTATTGTAGAAATATGTTCCACCATCACTTATCATGACTCGAAGGATTCCAAATCGACTTAAGATATTTTTTTTCAAAAACTTTATCATTGTTTTGACTTGGAATTGCTTCTATTAATTTTGAAACATAATCTACTAAGACTAATATGTACAAGAAACCAAATGATGGAGGAAATGGACCTATGAAATCTATACCCCAATAGTCAAAGATCTTAGTGACAAGAATATGATTTAGAGGCATCATGTGATGTTTTGAAATAGATCCCAACTTTTGAGAATTTTCACAAGTCTTGCAGAATGCATGTGAGTCGTTGAACATGGTGGGCAATAAAATCTACTTTGTAAGATTTATGCAGTTGTCTTTCTTGATGCCAAATGGCCCCCACATGCCTCAGAATGATAAAATTTAATTACATTACTTACCTCATTGTCAAGAATATATCTTTAAAATATTTGATCATGACAATATTTGAATAAATAAGGGTTATCCCAATAAAAGTTTTTCATTTCATTCAAAAACTTTCTTTTATCTTGGGTACTCCAATGAGCTGGAAATTATCCTAAAATAAAAAAATTGACAATATTAGCAAACCAAGGCAATGAAGAGATAAAAAGTAAAGATTCATTAGGAAAGTAGTCATCGATTAGTGTGATGTCAAATTTTGAATCTGTTGTCAATTTTGACAAATGATTTGCGACAAGCTTTTTGATACCTTTCTTGTCTTTGATTATGATATCAAATTCTTGAGGTAACAAAATCCAGTGCACAAATCTAGCCTTAAAATCTTTCTTAAAAAGAACATATTTCAATGTTGCATGATCACTAAAAACAATAATAGGTGAGCCAACAAGATAAGTCCTGAATTTTTCACATGCAAATACTACTACAAGTAATTCTTTTTCAGTGGTGGTGTAATTCATTTGAGCACTATTTAAAGTTTTACTTGCATAGTAAATCACATAAGGTTTCTTATCTTCTTTTTTTTTTTCTCAAAACAGCACCTATGACATAATCACTAGCATCACATATTATTTCAAAAGGTAATGACCAATCAGGAAGTTGAATGACAAAAGCAAAAGTAAACAAGTTTTTAAGTTTAACAAAGGCTTCTTCACAATGTTCAATTCATTCAAAAATATTATCATTTGTTAGAAGGTTACTTAAGGGCTTAGATATTATATTAAAAAA